CTGATGCCACTGGTTGCTGTTGAGCCGAGATTTGAAGATGTTTAGACTCTCTTGATTTGACCACTACACTTGGAAGATTGTTCCACTGGTCTTACGACCCTTAAATGAAAAACTGTTTTGTCTGATTGTTGAATTACATCTTTTCTTAATAGTTTTTATGATCATGACCACGTGTAATTATTCCTACTTCTAACAAAGAATACCCTCTCATCCATGTCTTCTAGGCCATGTAAAATTTTAAAGACTGTATCATGTCGTACCGATCTCTTCTGTATTCTAGTGATGGTAGACCGAGCTTTATAAGCTCCCTTTGTACGCGACAAGTGTTTTATGTGTATAGTCTGTCAAACATGTTACTAGTACGCAATGCCGCACACTACAACAATTCCGACAGCAAGTCAGTCAGTGAAACACTCTGTCACTCATTCATTGCTCAAACAGTCCTTAATCTTTAAAAGTTTAAGACCTTTATTTTATTTTTTTTTAATTGTGAGGGCTGGTAAATTATGGCGAGGGCTGGTAAAAAAACTGCTGTTGCCAACCCTCTTGGGCTCGTGCAAAAAATCTTAATTTCATGCCTGAAAACCGTATTCATTGACATAGTACATAGGCCTAATCATAAATAAGTAGTGAAGTACTGAAGTAGGCGTAACCTATAATCCTATCAGATGTATCATTATGACACGCCGTCATGCACTTTACGCCGAGACAGAGAGGGGGAGCAATACTGCTAGATATACATGCGTTAGCTACGGCACGCACTAAAACATAATAATGTAGAGTAGGTGTATGTGAGAAATACCAGAAAGATCCGGCAAATCCACCAAGCGATTTTGGATCGGAATGGGACTTCAAATAATTAGGAAGTGTAGTTTTTCACGGAACTTTGAAAACGACCTCCATGATGTCTTGTTGACGCGCGAGTTCTCGCGGGATTTACTCGCGAGTAAAAGTAGTTCATTACGTCATATTATTTGTCATATTATTTTCTAATTATAGTATAATAAGTATAGAAAACATAATTTTAAACATAACAAATAATGATACTATTTACTTGATGCTGATACTCAAAAAGGGGGGAAAATTTACGGAAAATATATAACTAACTTCTATGGGAACCCGGAACTGAAAAGTCGACAAATGCATTCACCACCCAATTTTGCAAAGAACTTCGATTCGCCATTTTCCTTTCAGCGCGTCCCTGAATAGAACAGAAGTTAGAGGTCTGCTGAGAGAGGTAGTGATTGAGCGGCGAAAGAGGCATTTTGTTGCACAGCAGATTAACATTGCGCTCTTAATACGAATAAAGAGTAAAAAAAAGGTTAACTCCATTATCTTATATTAAGTCGCTATTTTATTTTTGTGGAGCTTTTGTAAATGGGCCAAGTTTTACCCCCTCAGCGCTGCTGCCTGAGCGTTTACTGACACTTGGTGACTTGTATCTGCGTCTCTCGTCTATCCAATGCCAATGTCATGCGATTCCTATCATTTCCTCTGCGATGATAGACTATGCCATATATCCTTAAACTATCTTTCTATGTGAATCGCTGGCGTTAAAACGGCACTGAAATCTTCTTGTATTCACTCAATTCTGAAGAAGTGTTTCAGTTACAAACTTTAGCAAAGACCATGCAATTTTGATCAAATACTGTGCAACTCATTTAGCACTTAGTCGGGCCCTGTTAGCCGACAGGCGTGTGACTAGTCGTCAATATTACACAGCCTGAACATCCATTCATTGGATAACTTTGTACCTCTACCAAAATGACTGCCCGAACAATTACGTAGAATATATCTCAAATAAAATCATGCAGTGGCTGGCAGCGGACGGCAGCCGTCGTTGTTGAACCCCTTTTGGCGTGTCTAGGGTTAGGGTTCTAGCTCATCTAAACTTCTCAAATCGTGAATTTATTTCCCAAGGGCGTTATTTCGAATTCTGGCGCACATCCCGCGCCCATCTTTGGTCTCGTTAAGTATGAAAGCGAATGGACTTGCGCGCTACCTCCAGCTCGAGACATTTTTAAGGATTACGGCGTCTGCCATACCCGTAGCCACGCGAATAAAATAATCATCTAAGCATTTCTGCCTTGTATTGTCTCAAGTAACTCGTATAACTTTCACCTGTAGTTATAGTATTCCAGCGTTGTTATTAAAACTAATACCTCACGCCGTTTCCCGGTCATGTGCACAGTGTAAATTTCATGTTAACCTGCCAACTTGCCATGTTTCACTGCGCATGCGATTCGATCGGAACGCGGAAAACCCGAACATACCATAGCGTTGCCAACTCGGTTGGCGCGAGCATAAATACAGCATCATATATCGCTGTATATATATATATACTTAAAACATGAAAACAGGAAAAAATCAAGCTAGCAACACTTAATAATTATCATTGCGAAGGATATGTACTTGCCTTAAGTTTAGGCTACGCACCTGTGAAAATCGGTCCATTGCTCGTTTTTAGTCACCCCGACATTGGCCGGCTGTCTGGTGTTTTATCAATTCATCTCAGAAAATACGGCCATTAACTCGATAAATTAAGTCTAGCGCAGTCTACCGCGAGCAAGCCAGAGGTTTTATAGATTGTTGAGCTATTACATCGCTGACGCTAGCTGTCGGCGCATGTTTGGATTACCGAGGCAACTACAAGTTTTTATGGGCAAGTAATTTTGAAACGCGTCTTCTAACCCTAGGCACGTAGCAAAGACCGTTTCTTGAGCTACGGTCCTGTCAGCTATGTTGTACAAACTTTGCGTCTGTGTCAGCAGTTCTATTCTGTATAACCTTGATCGCGTTACTCCAAAAACATCCTGTGGCTTGTCTCATTTTTAGCTGCATCTGACATAGTCAAGGTGCAGCGTTATGTAGAATCGCATGATTGTCTGTCCCGTGCGAGGCGCGTCCGTCCAGTCAACAGTTGGGCACAAATCTGAAACGCTCGAACGGTACGGTCACGATATTCAGGAACGTCGGTGGGGCGGATCAGTTGAAAAGGACCTCCGGGATGACAAATTTGTGGCGGGGTCAACGGTCAAGGCGTCAAGATGTGTAAACGAGGGGGAATATGTTTCCCCCTTACAACTCTAAGGTATAGCAGGAAAATACGGAATTGGCAACAAATCTTAACGGTCCGCCTATCGTCTTAATATTTTGGTGTATTAGGTAGGCAGGAAAACCATTCACCAGCTGCGAAATGTGGAGGTCACCAGTCTTGTTTTTATGAAAAGGCAGGCGAGTGCAAAAATCACACGGCTTGCTTGCGAGCACGTGGGCTGTTGATTTGCATCCGAGTGCCGCGAGGTCACGATGGCAACTAGGGGCGTTCGGGGCATGCCCCCCGGAAAAATGAAATCAGACTTCATGAAATGCCTTTCTCAGCATTTTGGGATAAAAATTATGCTCTGGATTTGTACTCTATAATTTTGACATTTTTTTAGGCTGGTTTTTTTTCATCTAAACAAAATATCAGTTCTTGAACATATTGATGGATAACTTGAATCACAATTTAGCATGTTAGTCAAAATAGGAACAAACTCAATTATTTTCAGCAGACTATTAAAACTTTATAGTATTTTGCAACATCATAATCATTCAGTCACTTGTTTGCATTTTTGTCAATTTGAGGTTATTTTACGTTCTCATTTCAAGGAAAACATACATGTTGTTGCCAATAACAACTTCACTTAAAAACCTTAGATGCAGGCATTTTAATTTTCACTTGTCAGCTGCATCTTCATCACCAGGTTCTCGATTGCTGTCAGGCGCGTAGGCCGGATTTTATTTTGGGGGGCGGGGCGGCAATGCATGAGAGTCAGTGAAGTGTGGCGATCATCAGGCGGTAAATCCGTTACGCGAGCGAGTGGGGGGGTCGGGATGATCGGCGATAGCCATTCACATACTAGCACGGCGTAAGCCCACCATAATTTACACCACGCGGCGCGACGCGACGCACGAACTAATCTACACACACACCAGAGGGCGGTATCCATGATTTGTTCTTAAAAGGTCTGAGTGTCAGGAAGAAATAAAGCGGCACTTTTTTTTGCTACTTTTTCTCTGACGTGGTTTAAAAAGCTGCCGAAGCCACTTTGGCGGGGGTTGGAACTGATACGTTTCCCCTTCCCTTCCCCCCCCCCCACCCTCCCCCTCCCCTCCCCCCTGTTTCAATTTCATCCTGGGGAGAACCCTGTTTGGGACCAACAGGGTTTACTAGAATCCCACCACTCCACCACAGAGTCACCACAGTAGACGTTAGATGAGCGCTGTCGCTCCGCGGCACTTGTTCTAATTCATTGTGATTTGCAAAATTAGAGTGTTTCTTCCTGGTATGGTATTGGTAGGCAGGATTGCTCTAGAACTATAGCCCTTCGCCCTGTCCTGTGACAGAGCGAAGGGCTATAGTTATAGAGCTACAGGCAGGGCTGCCAGACTTGTTCTTGATCCTTATCCTGTATAAAACGAGTAGTAACTCATCTTACCAATAGATGGCACACTGTGTCTGTTTGTAAGTGCGACCAGCATGCCTTTTATGCATGTATGTAAAACACATGGCCTAGTTTGCATGATCTCCTCTTAGAGTCCTAAAGTGAATTGCATTTTTCGAATCTTGTCTGGTCTTACGACATAACTGCAAAAGCTATCTTTTAGAAAGGTTAGTCCAATTGAACGTTTTAGTACAGCAGTCTTTGATGCATGGCATCGTTCTGTGTGATGTGTACGATTACAACATAAAGATAAACAAGTATTAGATGTGTGGTTGTGTTTTGGAGGCTGAATCCGTTCAATTGTTTATTGCCCAGTGTGAGTCAGTTATTATGCAGTGTTGAATGTGAGCGTTTGGATTATGTGACATCTTTCAGCTTTGCAAGCTCTTGACAAGTTTATAATGTGACTCGGTCATTTTAGTAAAAAGTGTTTGGAATTTCAGGTGAAGTTCACCGACTTTAAAAAATGATTGGATTGCGTTAAGGGCAATGAACTTTTACAATGTTTACAGTGGTTCTACAAGGGTGCCCAATTTCAAGACCCGATCCGATTTCAGCGGCCACGATTGGTTGGTTGGAAAGAACTTGGCAAACTTGAATTTTCGGAATTCTGTCTCTAGTTTTCGTAATCTTGTGATAGTAACTCTTCGGGTTCTAAAACTAAGAAGTCCATCTGCTAAATTAACACTGCCAACAGCAGCAGGGAAGGTTTCAATGTTCACAGTTTAATATAAATGATGCAGGGGCGGATCTAGGTTTTAACTAAGGGGGGGTTTACCTGAGGTGATTGGCCTACACACCCCAGCGTGCCGAAGGTATGCCTTGCTAGGGGGTCTGGGGCAGCCCAAGTAGGTCCCCCCCCCCCCGTAGATCCGCCACTGAATGATGGAAGCGAGTTATAGTTGATGAATTACTGAAAGAAAGAAACTAAATTTGAACGTTGGTCCTTCGAAGACGAGACGTGGTGGAACAATGGTCCGGCGCAGAGACCACGTGTATTATTCCCACTTCTAACAAAGAATACCCTCTCATCCATGTCTTCTAGGCCATGTAAAATTTTAAAGACCTGTATCATGTCGTACCGATCTCTTCTGTACTCTAGTGATGGTAGACCGAGCTTTATAAGCCTCCCTTTGTACGACAAGTGTTTTATGTGTATAGTCTGTACAACAGTTACTAGTACGCAATGCCGCACACTACAACAATTCCGACAAGCAAGTCAGTCAGTGAAACACTCTGTCACTCATTCATTGCTCAAACAGTCTTATCTTTAAAAGTTTAAGACTTTATTTATTTTTTTTTAAATTGTGAGGGCTGGTAAATTATGGCGAGGGCTGGTAAAAAACTGCTGTTGCCAACCCTCTGGGCTCGTGCAAAAATCTTAATTTCATGCCCTGAAAACCGTATTCATAGTACATAGGCCTAATCATAACAAGTAGTGAAGTACTGAAGTAGGCGTAACCTATATCCTATCATTATGACACGCCGTCATGCACTTTACGCCGAGACAGAGAGGGGGCAATACTGTAGTATACATGCGTTAGCTACGGCACGCACTAAAAAGAATAATGTAGAGTAGGTGTATGTGAGAAATACCAGAAAGATCGGCAAATCCACCAAGCGATTTTGGGATCGGAAGGGACTTCAAATAATTAGGAAGTGTAGTTTTCACGAACTTTGAAACGACCTCCATGATGTTGTTGACGCGCGAGTTCTCGCGGGATGTACCCGCGAGTAAAAGTAGTTCATTACGTCATATTATTTGTCATATTATTTTATAATTATAGTATAATAAGTATAGAGAACATAATTTTTAAACATAACAAATAATGATACTATTTCTGATGTGATACTCAAAAGAATACGGAAACATATATAACTAACTTCTATGGGAAACCGGAACTGAAGCGACAAATGATTCACACACATTTTGCAAAGAACTCGATTCGCCATTTTCCTTTCAGGCGGTCCCTGAATAAGAACAGAAGTTAGAGTCGTGAGGAGGTAGTGATTGAGCCGCGAAAGAGGCATTTGGTTGCACACAGATTAACATGGCTCTTAAACGAATAAATAAGGTAATTAACCATCTTATATTAAGTCGCTATTTTAATTTGTGGAGCTTTTGTAAATGCAAGTTTTACCCCCTCAGCCGCTGCTGCCTGAGGTTACTGACACTTGGTGACTTGTATCTCGTCTCTCGTCTATCCAATGTCAATGGCAATGCATTCCTATATTTCCTCTGTATGATATGACTATAATATATCTTAACTGTCTTCTATTGTGATCTGGCCGTTAAAACGGCACTGAAATCTGCTTGTATTCACTCAATTCTGAGAAGTTTCAGTACAAACTTTACAAAGACATGCAATTTTGATCAAATATGTCTACTCATTTAGCACTAGTCGGGCCTTGTTAGCCCGACCAGGCTGTGTGACTAGCGTCAATATACACAGCCTGACATCCATTCATTGGATAATCTTGTACCTCTACAAAGACTGCCGAACAATTACGTAGAATATATCTCAAATAAAATATGCAGTGGCTGGAGGGACGGCAGCCGTCGTTCGTTGAAGCCCCTTTTTGGCGTTAGGGTTAGGGTTCTAGCTCATCTAAACTCTCAAATCGTGAATTTATTTCCCAAGGCGTTATTTCGAAATCTGGCGCACACCCGCCGCCATCTTTGTCTCGTTAAGTATGAAAGCGAATGGACTGCCGTACCTCCAGCCTCGAGACATTAAGATATACGGCTGCCGTACCCGTAGCCACAGCGAATAAAATAATCATCTAAGCATTTCTGCCTTGTATTGTCTCAAGTACTGTATAACTTTCACCTTAGTTATAGTATTCCAGCGTTGTTATTAAAACTAATACCTCAGTTCGCTGTGCACAGTGTAAATTTCATGTTAACCGCCAACTGCCATGTTTCCACTGCGCATGCGTTTCGATCGGAACGCGGAAAACCCGAAACGACATAACATACCATAGCGTTGCAACTCGCGTTGGCGCGAGCATAAATAATCATCATATACTCGTGTATATATATATATATTAAAACATTGAAAACCAGGAAAAATCAAGCTACAACAACTTAATAATTATCATTGCGAAGATATGTACTTGCCTTAAGTTTAGGCCTACGCACTGTGAAAATCAGGTCCATTGCTGATTTTAGTCACCCCGAACATGGCGGCTGTCTGGTTGTTTTTATTCAATTCATCTCAGAAAATACGGCATAACTCGATAAATAAGTAGCGCCCAGTTACTGCGAGTAGGCCAGAGGTTTATAGATTCGTTTGAGCTATGACATGTGACGCTAGCTGTGTCGATGTTTGGATACCGAGCCAACTACAAGTTTTTATGGGCAAGAATTTGAAACGGTCTTCTAACCCTAGCACGTAGCAAAGACCGTTTCTTGGAGCTAGGTCCCTGTCAGCTATTTGTCAAACTTTGGTCTGTGTCAGCAGTTCTATTACTGTATAACCTTGATCGCGTTACTCCAAAAACATCCCCTGTGGCTTGTCTCATTTTTAGCTCATCTGACATAGTCAGGTGCAGCTTGTAGAATCGCATGATTGTCCGTCCGTGCGTCCGTCCGTGCGAGCGTCCGTCCATCAACAGTTGGGCACAAATCTTAACCGCTCGACGTACGGTCACGATATTCGGGAACGTCGGTGGGGATCGTGAAAAGGACTCGGGATGACAAATTTGGGGGTCAACGGTCAAGGTCAAGATGTGTAAACGGAGGGGGAATATTTCCCCCTTAACTTAAGGTATAGCAGGAAATACGGAATTGTGGCACAAATCTTAACGGCTCGACCTATGGTCTTAATATTTGGTGTATAGTGTGATGGGCAGGAAACCCATCACCAGTGCGAAATTGGAGGTCACCAGTCCTTGTGTTTTGAAAAAGGCAGGCGAGTGAAAAATCACACGCCTTGGCTTGCCGAGGTGTGTGATTTGCATCCAAGTGCCCGCAGCTCCCGAGGCAAACTAGCGGGGTTCGGGGGCATGCCCCCCCCGGAAAAAATGAAATCTAGACTTCATGAAATGCCATTTCCAGCATTTTGGGATAAAAATTAGCTCTGCATTTGTACTCTTAATTTTGACATTTTTTAGGTGATTTTTTTTCATCTAACAAAATATCAGTTCTTGAACATATTGATGGATAACTTGAATCACACATTTAGCATGTTTAGTCAAAAAGAAACAACACTCAATTTTTCAAAGCAGACTATTAAAACTTTAATAGTATTTGCAACATCATAATCATTCAGTCACTTGTTTGCATTTTTAGCTCATCTGACATAGTCAGATGCAGCTTGTAGAATCGCTTGATCGTCCGTCCGATCGTCCGATCGTCCGATCG